ATTAAGATAACACAATCTGATAATGTGCTCATTGTAAATTGATGCTATCTACTAGTATTTACGTTTAGTCAGTTTACTAAGGTGATATATAACTATGCAATTGAATGCACACCGCGATCAACCTTAAAGCGAGAGGGTCGTCACCTGCGCACGCGCGGGAATTGTGTCCCAAGCTTTGATAACAGCACAAACGCAAAGGCTCATGGGTAGACGCTTGTTTGTAAACAACGACACGCTATGGCCATCTGAAGCATGCGCAGGTGACGACTCCCCCGCATTAAATAGACGATGGTCGAAATAAAACTGAATCAGCTGAGACATTCTTTTTTGTCTATGCGCCATGAACTGTGTTGATAAACAAATTGTGCATCTATTTAGGGTTTTGTGCAATGTTAACTTTGTTAAATACTGTCTTTCAAAATTGAATAACAGCAAAGAATGGTTAAATCTATTTTTTCATCGATAGCATTTTCCAGCCATATTTATTAAACTGCAATTCAACTCAATGAATGAATGAATGCACGAAACCCAAATAAACTGCACATAGTTTGAAATTGATTAAAGCGGGAGAGTCGTCACCTGCGCATGCCTCAGGCGGCCATAGCGTGCCATTGTTTACAAACACGCGTCTACCCATGAGCCTTTGCGTTTTTAGCGTGTGTTGTTATCGTCGCTTCGGACTCAATTCCAGCGCGTGCGCAGGTGACGAGCCTCCCGCTTTAACTTACATCTGAACAAATGTTGAGTATTGATCAGTGTTGATCAGTTCAGCAGACGCCCAGCTGAAATTGTCGTACAACTTTGACAATGGCTAAGAATGTTGGATCATGGGCCAACTATAAACGAGTTCCATTGGAAGTTGATGATGCTTTCTTCTTGTATAGTTGCTTGCTTTACAAATAATTAACATATGTGATATATTGGCGAATGAGGAAGAGTAAACAATCGTGTTTTCGTATAACCTTTGCCTCCGAATTCTTATGTTATGTTATGTTATGTTATGATGATGCAATTACCCCTTCACTGTCATTCTTTTTTTCAACTCAACAAAATAGTCAAATTTTTGGACTGAAATCTATACTCAGTATCATATTATGCATGTTCCACCCAAAATTAACGTTGAAAATGTGAAATTAATATAAAAATTTGCTCATAAAAGTGGCGGGAAATTGATGTCCATGAATGAAAATGATGCGACTTTATCTGATCTGATAATGAAATAGATGGCTACCATAAACCCAGATCATCAATTGTTTTTTGGTATGGTGTTCTTGTTCACAAAGCTCAGATAAAGAAAAGTCACGGAACACATTTTCGCGCGCTTTTCGAGCAATGATATACTATTGGATTCTACAGAAAGGTGACCTCATTATATATATTGATAAATTTCATGGTTCTCACGAATAATAGAAGATGATAGATAATATGCTTTGACGTGGAATTGTATGAAAACCTTGACAAATCCCAAATCCCAATCCCAAATTCATACGTTGGAATTGTATGAAGACATTGACAAATCCCAAATCCCAATTCCAAATTCATACGTTGGAATTGTATGAAGAATTTGACAACTCTCAAATGGACAAATACATTATTAGTTTATGTTCCAATGTAAAAATAGTTTGGTAACGTGTGTCCAAATCAAACTAATTTTGAAAAACAAATATGATAAATTTACTAATCGGTAAATACTTGCAAACGGCCTTTAATGCAAGACGATTTTTGGTTTTACTGTCACGGTCAAAAGCGAAAAAATATACGAAAACACTTATATTTGTAATACCGTAGATTAATTTAACAGTTGGGTATGGTTGAAATATTTGTGATTGACCTACATGTATTCAGTTTATAATATTAGAGAAAGAGAATAAACACAATTCACGTGAAACCCAACACTTCCGGGTTGGTTCTAACAACAGTGAAAGCACAATATATATATGCAAATGAGAAGCGACGATAAAAAAAAACGGGATTTTTGTGTGTGTCGTAAAAAATGCGTTGTTTTCTATGGTATTTCTAGAGGGGGAGTCAACACTGTGGCGGTGCTCATCTGCGAGTGTACCCTGAACTTATAAACTACGTGAAAATTACAAACATTTCTATGCAGAGCTTTTACTAAGTAAAATCCTGCTATTTAATTTTATAGAGTCCTTGTGTGGCCGACACAATGGTTGATTCTACTTGAACTAGGTCAAGAATAAATAGTACGTATTTGAACAGCATCGTATGATCGTTATTTCCATAGTAACCTAGCCTTTGTTCTTACTCTCACGTGATATGGGCGTGCATGCCGTGTTCACGTGAAGCTCCTCGGCGTAAAAACAAGCAAAACGTAGGCGATCATGGATTTACAAAATGTATAAATCCTTTAATACGACATATTTCACCATTTTTGAAATACTCAGTTGTTTATTTCTGTTTACTGTTTCACTCATTGGCTGACCTGGCGTTGACCTGGTGCAACTGAGGGGTCCTTTGTTGTCACCATGAAATAGCACTAACTTAAGGGGCCTGGCAGGAGTTGACTATTAAAACAACCCCGCCGGTAGTTGTAGTGCCGTACTTTCGTGTCAGCGAGGAACATTGCATCATCTTCGATCTACGCAGGTATCTTTCAACACGATGACAGCCAAGGTTCACGTCGCAGGAACGGGCGACAACATAATGGACGGAGTTCTTCTGAACTGCGCAATATGTTCAAATCGCTACAGAAATGCCAAAATTCTGCCTTGTCTTCATTCATTCTGTGAATGCTGCCTGGAAAGCACGTTGGCGAATTATGGCCATTTAATTTGTGTGCATTGCAAGCAAGAGTACCAAGACGTTTCGACGGTTCGTGAGCTGCCACCCAGCGTTCTGATGAACAGCATAGTCGATGCGCTCAGTGGAAACGACCTGCCAGAAACCGAAATTCGCGCCACGAGACTTCCAGCTGTTCATTGCCCCACGCATACCGACAAGAGCCTAGATATCTACTGCCAGACGTGTGTCAAGCCACTGTGCAACAGTTGCCTTCCAGTCGACCATAGTACACACTCTCACATAGATATTGAAGCCGCAGCGGAAGAATACAGATGGGAGCTGCGACAAAAATTGCGTGATCTTCAAATAATTGAACCTGTCTCAGAGCTTGGCATGCAAGGGAATAGAAGAGGCTCGTCACATGAGCACATCATGATCAGGTCTGATACCAACGAGAAAAAAGAAACCATTGAACGTCCAGTCCCTGCGCCAGAAACTGTGGAAACTAGGTTCATTTTGGAAAACGCAATCAGTCTTCTTGGAGATGAGCGGTTACTGCTATCGCGCCCGGAAATCGGACGCAAACTCGAACGCGTTGGGTCTTTCGAAACTGATATTCAGGCCGAGTTTATGCTCTCTTCTTCGCCGGGTTATTCTGAATCACCAGGGTCCCACTTTCTGTTTTACGACAATAACACGAGAGTAGGAACCGCGTTCTGTGGAGACAGAATTTACATCGCCGATAATGCAAACGGTAGAATAAAGTCACGTGGTGCAGGAGGTGCCTTGAAACCGAGCATTCATTTTGACAGACAACGTGCAAACGTAATACAACATTTCAGGCGCCCATTTTCTCCGATAGACGTGGCCGTCTTGCATGATAATTTGTTCATAACTGACCAAGGCAACCACCAGGTTGTCGTCTGTGACAACGAAGGCGAATTTATCAAATGCTTCGGAAGCGAGGAGCTACTGAAACCGTTTGGAATCGCGATACATAAAAATGACCTTGTGTATGTTGCTGACCACGATGCGCACTGCATCAAACTGTTCAACACTGACGGGGAGTTTCTTTCTTCTTTTGGTTGTCATGGAAACGAAAAGGGCGAATTCTCTCATCCTGAATGTATTCGTTTCAACGAGAAGGGTCGCGCAGTTGTGTCTGATGTCACGGGTCGTATTCAGGAGTTCAACATTGGAAAAGGTGGAATTTTGTACCCTGCGGGAGAAATCGACGATGCTGGTTACCATAGCAGATAATTAGCGATGCGAGATGCAGTATTGCCGCTCCTAGGCGTGAAAAAAGCTCACCCCTTTGGCACGTGTCAGCGATGTGACTGCTTGTGAACTTAAAAACTTTAACTCAATGACTGGTTGAATGAATGAATGAATAAAATTACATACAAAGAGAAAAATTGAAAGATTTGAAAATGTAAAAGAAAAAAATTGAGTTTGTATGACATTTTGATATAGAGACTTTATTTGCAACTTTTTCTTATTGTTTCCCCATATTGTTTTTGAATTTGCTTATTTCTGAATTGTTTAGTGCCTTTTTGTTCAGAAACAGCTGTATTGTTAGAATAATTAAAATCAGGAATTTGCGGCAATTCTTGTGATGGACGCATTTAGAAATAAAAAAAAAAATGCGTGTGCTTAAAAAACATTTGTTTTCAACGATTGGATGTGTTCGTCGCGGCGTCCTTACTAAATATATGCCCGCATCGTATGTCAATGCTCCAATGTGCTATTGGAGTTATTTATTTTCGTTAGAGTTCTATTTAATTGTCGCTAGTCAGGAAAACTAGTTTGTGAATGTTTTGTGATGTTATGTGTTGCAGAATAAACATGTTATTTATAACGACCAATCTCTCGTCCTGTCATGTTTTTATTGTTTATCCATCATATAAATCCGCGTGACATTTATCATAAAAATTGTGTGTGCCCTGGTCTCTATATAATCCGATATCGGAGCGAGTATCAGACTTAAATAGATGAAACTAATCGGTTTCACTGCGGTTTAAATTCAGTTGAGTTCCACTTTTTTTGCGAGCTCGTTTTGCATTTGGAAAAAACGCCATTGTGTGATTTTTGTT